ACAATAAGGATGGCAAAGGCAATATAAGCACTTAAAATTGTCCTCTTCACGAAACAGTTCAATATACCTCAACAAGAATTGAAGCCAATGATATGAGTTGCATATTTTGTCAGCCTCATCATATACATTCATTTTGGCACGAGGAATTGTAAGTTTATGGGCTCCAAAGGATGTTTTGTATATTCTACAATCAGATTGTTAAGGAAAATATAGTTAAAAATTTAGAACCTAAACATACAAATAAAAAGGAAATGAAACAATTAGAGGGTAAAAAATTCGATTTTGAAAGATAAAACCTAACCTAACAAGAAAGCGAAGACTGTGTGAATTGTTTGGGCTACTTGACGTGACAAAATACTTGAAGTGAATCTTTAAGAAGCCATGTGAACGCTATTAAGGTGCAATGGTACCACAGAAAGAGGAATGGCTCTGATAAAAAAGTGTAATGAATCAGCCATTGACAAATAACAAAAACAAAATTCTTCTTGAGGTTAGTAGAATATCACAGAAAAGTCATTACAAAGTGAACATTACAATGGATTGCAACGTTCAAAGTGAAATTACAGATACGTGGGACTTGTCAACTTATGTATCAGGGTGACGGGCGCAGTGTTAGTGCCCCTCAGATCTTTGCGATTTAAAGCTCTGAGTGGCGATGGCACTGTAACTGTTATGGACAGGCGTGTCGCTTACCAGCAGGCGCACGACTTGTTCGTCCCTTCACTTGGTATCACATAAAATAAGAGTTGATTAATACATTAATACATTATTAATATAACACATCTTTTGCGTACCACACTACCTATTAATCTTAGCGACTAGTTTTAATATAATTTTAAGTTTGTGATTTGTAGTTTTCTCAATAAAAATAATTAACTTTAAAAAATCGTATTTTTTGCCTACTTTTACAAAAGTGATCAAAGTGTGCAACCTCTAAATATTATCCAATTTTCTTGAAATTTGGCATATATGTCTTTTACATCACTGAAACTCGGGGTGTAAGGAAAGTCTGCAAAAATTTTACATTTTATTTTTTGCTCAACAAAATGATACACCCTAAGATACATGTACAGATATAGCTACAAGGAGCGACATAGAGTTGTTAAGACCACCAAATATTAATTAATTACTTTTTCGAATTCCGGATTTCGGATAAAAGAAAATCCTCTCTTTATTCTATTTATGAAGGCCGTACATAAGTAAGGCTGTCAAAAATGGCATTTGTTCGTCAATTTAAGCGTTCAGCAGTTTTTTTAATAAAAAGTATTAAAATAATCCAGCGTGAACATTTTCCTTTTAAAATACGACATTTCTGCTAATGTTCGAATTTATAAACATCCGTTATACTATGTTTTTGAATTTAAATAAAATATTTTTAGAGCGTGATCACGATTCTCGTGCAAACTAAAATGTCCTAAAATTCCCCTCGTAAATAAAATTTTTAATAAATTTTTTTTCTTAAGTTCTACTAGCAAATGTCGCCTTCCGTCAATGTGACCGTCAATAAACGCACACACTCGACACAGCCCCGCACTAGGGAAACCCTGTGTCGCAGGTGCCATGAACACACATAGACAACCACAAATTACACCCAAACTCACGAGAGAAATAAATGTAGGCCATACAAATATTTCTCCCGGCCCGGGAATCGAACCTGAGACCTCTGCGTGGCAGTCCGGCATGGTAACCGTTCGGCCACGGAGGCAGTTGTCAATATGTGGTATCTAATACTAGGGAGGAGCGGAGAGTGATCATTCTCCTTAATTTTTTATTCTCCGTTTTGGTAAAAGGTCAGTTATCTACTGCATTACTTATAATCTGTTCCTATCCAATGTATAGTCAAGAGCACGTCAAGCTTGACACTTTGTACTTTGGACCGTTCTTATTGTAAGAGGCGTAGAGTTGGATTTTAGGCTGCAGTGTCAAGCTTGACGTGCTCTTGACCCTATACCAAAAAAGTAAACAAACAGATCATTGTCCCGACCATACAGTTTAATGATGGCCAACTGTACTGCCAACTACAAATCGTTTAATTTATTGAATGAATTGATTTGTTTATTTGAATCAGTTGGAATAACTGGGTTTCATATAATAAAATGGGTTTTGCGATTTCACTGCTGATTATTATAAAAAATATGTGATTCAATACTGAACGATGATATTTCCTATATGAGATTAGAAATTTTTTCTTACATAACCTATAAAAGCATATTTCCAATTTCCGAATTCTAATTTTAAATCCTCCTTCAAATCTCACACTTGTACATACGAGTATGTACAATTTTATCACAATCGAACGAACATATGTTCGTTCGATTTTGATAAACTTTTCGATTCACTAATCGATTACAAAATCTTTAATTGAATGAACCGAATGAGTTATTTCCGTACAGCCCTACACAGAAAAAAAGGATTTCTACTAATAAGAAAAAGCAATTTCTCAAAATATTTGCTAATTCTGAAAAATATTTATTAAAAGTAATAAAATATTGTCATTACAAAAATACTGCTTATCTTTTTCTAATACAATTTTACTCTTAACTTTATTCTAACTTTTAGACAAATACGTTCACTTCAAGATTTTGTTTCATTTCTAATCAATTAATTGGACATTACTTACATCAAGAAATGTTTACCTCTAAATTTAAATAATCTTAAATGAATTAAAAATTTCTTGGGTGTATTTTAAGAAAATATATTCTTAAACAAAAAAAGAAGTAGATTACTATTCAGATTAATATTCTAAATTCTAGAGTATGTTCTTAAAGCAACATTTCGTTGCATTTTCATAGTCAATGTTGTCGTGACATGTCGCCAAAGTCGCACGCGGTAACGATTACTTTTACTTGTGTTTGTAGTCATAAAAATTATAAACAGTCATTTATCCAAAGAAACAATAGTATTATAGTATATCGTAGTATCTCTAGTTTGTTAGGGTGTTATTTATAACCATAATTTAAGAAATTTGGTTTCAGCATGAAATCAAGCTACACTTGTAACAAGCACAACTTTAACATGCAATTAATTCCAACACGCCACTGCTGGATGGCATTAGTTGTACTCTGAAACGCGCTATCGTTTTGTTAACTTCAATAGTATAACGTCATCTCATATATTTGGAATTGTTAGTGCTTTCTGCCGCTGCTATGCTGTAGGATTTATACGGCACTGAATGGTCCTCAAGTATTTGAGAAGATTCCATCCTCTCTCTGCTACTTTAAGGTTTGGCACTGAACTGTGTGCTTTCACGCCAGTGAGACATACTGTTGGGTCCATAACCCTGTAAATTTACGCTTTTTGATATTAGAAAACATAAATCTTCAGTCAAATTATTAAGTACCTCTCAATTTTTCATTCTTTTTTTTTTTCAAATCAAAATCGGACATTTCTAATAACAAATAAATATTTTGTTGAATCTAGAATGGCTTTGTGACTTGAAGTAAATTAATTTGCTCTTGGATTAAATAATTGTGTATTATAACTAAAATACACTTTTGAGACGTTTTTTTTACTATTATCAAGTAATTATTCTCTAGCGTCTATACGGAGAGGATCGTTTTGTTGGATTTAATAAATTTGTCTTCATAAAAAGAATTTTGTCTTTTTCTAAATAATCTGTTTTCACCGTGTATGCAATCAGAGACTATCGAGTTCTTAGGTTTTCGTGATTGTTACACATAGGAAATGAACAGTCTTGAACTGGTTGAAGACTGTACCACCTCAGTCAACTGTGACCATGGGACCTGTAAAGGGCCGGAAACGTCGGTTTGCTTGAAAAAACAAATATACGCGATTTAAATCCGGAAAAATAGTTTCATTTCCTAACCATTGACTATTTACAAATCTATATTTGATTACTAATCTCAGTTTTGAAGTAACATTTTTCAAATAAGATTTAAATATGTTATTCAAATGAATATTGCTGGAAAAAGTGATGAGATATCAAGTCGACATCTTCAAAATATTCGTGAAAGTGTTACTTATTCCATTTATTGAGTGATTGCTTTAGAATTTTACCAAACCGGTTTGTTTACTTTTCTGGCATTATTTTAAAATCCAACTTCGACTTCCTAGGTCAGTTTGTCCTACGATGCAGTAAAATCATTTCCGGAAATCCGGAATTCGAAAAAATAATTAAGTAATATTTGGTGGTTTTAATAACTCTATGTCGCTCCTTGTAGCTATGTCTATACATGTATCTATAAATGTGGAACACCTTTTTCCAACCTATGGTCATAGCACTTTATATGCTGAACTGTGATGACAGTCAAAGAATATTTTGTTTGTGGTTCTACAATTACAATTTTGACTACTTTTATCTGGGAACTTAATCAGTGTTTAATACATAATATTTGTTTTTGTGTAGGTGTCAGCTGTTGTTTGTGTTGGTGCCATTTTCAAAAAAGATGAACTAAAAAGCAGATCGCAAATGACAGCTAACATAGTATTATCTCAAAATAGCTATAAGTTATATTAATATTACCTGTTTAGTTTCACAGCGACAGTGTTTACTTGTCACTTTGAAATTAAATCGTATATGAATGACACATCAATATAGCAAATTTTCGAAAAAAATTTTGGAAAAGAATTATTAATATAACGCAATTTTGAGATAAAATATAGCATAACGCAATTTTTGAGATAATACTATGTTAGTTGTCAAGTGCGAGACGTCGTGTGTCAGAGAGACCTTATAGTATCTTGTGCTTTCTAGAGGATTTATTAACTTTTTAAATTATTCCTTTTTTAACAGTTTTGGTTTTGGGTGAACATGCCCAGGGAGTTCCGCCACACTTTTGCAGAAATACATAACAAGTTTACTTTCTACACTTTTGCGCTTTGATGGCACGGAATATATTTAAAATTAATGCACTGGCAAATATCAACAGATTCAGAAATCATTACAGGGACCTAGCACATATTTTAAACACTACAAGGTCCACAAGTCACGGTCAATGAAAATATTTTTAATCTTCTACGTCTCAGTGTGACGTTCACAGAAGGTGCGCAAGGAAAATCAAGACCATTTCAACACGGTTGTTGTTGAAGACAATTTCGTTGCAACCCGCAACATGGCTCTGACAGTGTTTGCGGTCGTGGCGTTCGTTCTGGTAGTGCTGGGGATTGTGCTGTGCTGCTGCCGAGCGCGGCGACGCAACGCCGGACACGTCATCGCTAGTGAGTTTTCACGTATTCCTCACTCCAGGTGCACCCGTCTACCTAGAAGTTAGTGTACACTTACCTACAACACATCAACTGATCGGTTCCTCGTTGCCGAGGATCGCTGGTGACCAAACAACATTTATTATTAACAAAATGCATCAATCGTTCGCTGTTCACGGTATTTGCTTACAATAAAAGTGTGGATGTAAGTTGAGCGTAATGTGTTGCAGCTGCGACGGTTCCTCCGGTTCCGCCGGGGCCGAACAACCTCGCGCGTTACCCGCAACAGCAGTACGCGCCGTACCCCGCGCAGGCGCCAGGTCAGTGCTCACAAGTGTTCACGAATTACGTTTGTCGCATTCAAACTATTAATAATCTTATGAGACGTTGTATGCGATGTGTAAAATAATACAATAACGCACACCACTAAGGGCCCCGTACTAGGGAAACTCACGTGAGAAATAAATGTGCGCCACAGAAATATTTCTCCGGGCCCGTGAATCGAACCCGGGACCTCTGCGTGACAGACCAACATCAGTATGGTAATCGTTAAGCCGCGGAGGCAGTTAAAAAGTAATTATTATTAGTAAGGCAGTTAATTGTAAAATGAGTTTGTATCGCGACAGTGACTTTAAAAGGATCTACATCCACGAATATTTGTTGGTGTGTTGTATTGCGTCTAAGCCCACGCTTGTCTCATGCGTGCACGCACGTTTGGCTGTCGATAGACATCACTGACACTACTTTGGCGGCAACTCAATTGCCACTGGTATTTGTTCCACTGTGCAATTGAGCTGTTGCTAAAGTGTAAACAAATAAATATATTCGTAATTCCTTCGTACTGGAAATACGGTTATAGATTCGAGTTTGTGTCAATTTATTTTCCTCTAACGTACCAGAGATAAAAAAAAAGACGTGAATAGACACTCTCCACCCCTCTCTCGCTTTAGATACCGCACTACGCCCCGCACATTGACTGTCACATTGACGGAATGGCAACAAGACTGTTATCGAACCGTTTTCGCGCTACCTGTGCAGGTAGCGCCTTGCTGTATGTAGTAGTAGTAGGTAAATAACTTTCGACCGTTGTAGGAGTGTCCGGGGTGTGAACGTACCAAGTCAATATATACTAAAATGTTTCAGGTTTTGACTTTTGTTATTTGTATATTAATTTTTCTCTTGCATCTGTTATTTCCTATTCAAATCAAAATTGCGTAATTACGAGGCCTGTGTCCAGCAACTTTCCTCTTTCCTTGACGACGATGAATTATGTGACATCCGGTTCTGCTTGAAGCAATTCAAAACTTGTCATGGACTACCATTTTTCTCCTTAAACGGATATATGCATAGGTTAGTATATAAAGCATATTGCGGAAGGGATACCTATATTATTACTGTATTATTAAGATTCGGATAGGTAGTGGATAGTCGTGTATTATTTATTTATTCGCGAAGTTTGTCTTCGCGATACGCCATCACGCCAGTTACTTTATCGCGGAGCAAACACGACTAATTTGCGCAAACATAGACAAGCAGGTACGCAATGATACTTAGAATTGTCGGTACACTTCAGCGGGCAATGGCTTCATCCGCCGGCTGGACGGAATGCACTTCGTCAATTCCGCATTGCGCACGCCATCACGGGGCATCGCGTTGGTGTAACATCGCGCGTCTTTTCAGCGTGTACTTTAAAAAGATTATCCCATACTCGGAAGGTCGACGTTTGTGTGTGATAATTTTGGACGTGGCTCAAAACTAGAAAGGTATCCAAGTGGAAGCTTGTTTGTCCAGTGGTAGCAACGTACCCCGTGCAGTCACCGTACCCCGCGGCAGCCCCGTATCCCGCGGCGGCACCGTTCTCAGCAGCGACCCCGTACCCATCAGCGGCCCCGTACCCCGCAGCGGCGCCGTACCCCATGCCGTGCCCGACGGCCAGCGCGCCGTCCGCTCCCGACGCCCACGGTGAGTTCGCTTGCCTCGTACCGCCCTGTACCGCCTAGTACCGCCGCGGGGGCGATCCACCGCTAAAGGTACTCTCGCGTACATGTACTTGTGGCCAGTGTACTGATTTACGATCGTTTGGCCAATGAACGTACCTTTAGCTGCGGATCTTGTGCTTTGTGCCATCTCCTACTGGGCGCATGGTGTGCTGGTGTAAGAAAGAGAACCGTTTGTATCAAAATGTGTACGTATCTAATCGATCCAAGTTTGTTACAATAGGTGCTATCGCTACGTCCACCTAATCAGCTAAGTAAATAAATAAATGTTACTAAAACAAAATCGCGATAATGATTGAATGATGCAAGAGCATTAAGAATAAAGTGATTTTTAAGAAGCGGAGTTAGTCTCTCTTGTGACGTGTCAGGATAAATTTGAGCATTTTAAATGAAACGAAAGCGTTTGCGGCACTGAGTGAATATGGTATAAGATATTTAGTTCTTAAACGACCACTTAGCAAGAAGTACAAGGTATCATACAATTTACAGAGAGTACGCGCAGACAAAATATTCAAAGTATTCGTTAGAAAGAACCAAAGCAAGGCCCTAATCAAATATTGTACATCAATTGCCATGGTGAAACTTTAATTACAATACCAACTCATAGAAAAAAAATATCTAACCTCACGATGTGGAATTTTATTTTATTTTATTTATCGAGTTCTTAGGTTTTCGCGATTGTTACACATAGGAAATGAAACTATTTTTCCGGATTTAAATCGCGTATATTTGTTTTTTCAAACAAACCGACGTTTCGGGCCCTTTGCAGGTCCCATGGTCACGGTTGACTGAGGTGGTGTACCACCTGCGACGAGACTGTAGTCTTCAACCAGTTATGTCGAATATTAATGCAAGCCACCCTATTTTTTCACTATAGTTACAATAGTTATTAATTAAATACCTTATTTTTAATTTTACAAAAAAAACATTCCAATTTACGCTACATTAAGTTTTACAAATTATTTTATTGAATGAATTTTTATTA